ATGTGAGTTTAGCAAGTTTGTATGATGGGGATCAATCTACAAAAATTAACTCAAAATGAATCATAGACTTAATTATAAAACCTAAAACTATAAGTTTCATAGGATAAAATCTTTGTGAACTTGGATTAGGCAATGAATTTTTAAATGCAAAAAATACAACAGCATGATACATAAAAGAAAATATTTCATAAATTAGACTTTATCAAAATAAAAAATTTCTGAAAGACACTTAAAAGAATGAAAAGACAAGCCACAGACTGGGAGAAATATTTGCTAATCGGGTATCTGATAAAGGATGTGCATTTATAATATATAAAGAACTCTCAAAACCCAGTAGTAAAAAACAATCTAATAAAACGGGTAAAATATCTGAACAAACCTTTTACCAAGAAAAGATAAATGGATGGTAAAAGAGCACACAAAAAGATGCTCATCATCATTAGTCATTAGGAAAATGCAAAGTAAAACCACAATAAGATGCTAGCACACACCTATTACAATAGCTAAAATTAAAAAGGCTGACTAGACCAAGCATTGTTGCCAAGCATATAGAGCAACTGGAACTCTCATAGTCTAATGGCAGGAATGTAAAATGATGCAATCACTTTGGAAAATAGGCGGTTTCAAAGAAAGTTAAACCACATCCAGTCATTCCACTCCCCCAAGATAAACAAAAGCATACATCCATATATATAGACTTGTATATAAATGTTTAGAGCAGCTTTATTTGTAATGGCCAAAACTGGGAATAACCCCAAATCCATTCATGGATGGATAAGTGAAGAATACATTTCTTCAGCCTGGAATACACAAACACTATCCATACAACAAAATGCTACTCAAAAATAAAAAGAATGACTACTGGGTATGCAACAACATGATAAATCTCTTAATAGTTATCCTGAGTGTAAGAAGCCAGACAGACAAAAAGAGTATATACTGCATAATTCCATTTATATATACAACATACTATAAAAGTGCAAACTAATCTATACTGACAGAAAATAAGTTGGAGGTTGCCTGTGTATGGTAGTGCGGATGGGGAGGGGTGAGACAAAGGATTACGAAGAGTATAAGGACACTTGAGAATGATGGATGTATTCATTATCTTAATTGTAATAGTTTCATGGGTATATACATGTGTTAAAACTTAGGGAAATGTACATTTTCAATACATGTAGCTTACTGTACATCAATTATACTTCAATAAAGCTGATTTAAAAAACTCGAGCTGTATATTTAAGATCTGTGCATTTCATTGTGTGTAAATTATACCTCAATTAGACCATTTTTTAAAGGACTCAGAGAAATCATTTCTCCTTTGACTCGGGTGGCCCTCAGAATCCCAGCAGCAGCCACCAGGCAGCGTGACTTTGGGCTGGTCCCTTCCCTCTCTGGGAAGCTCTCAGTGCCTCTCCAGCTTTGATGTCTGTAGTTCAATGAATCTAAGGATGAACGGAAAGTCCCAGGCAAACAGCGATGGCAGAGGGTTAAGTCAGACCAGATTTCCAATCCAAACCCTGGGGTGAAGGCTGAGCCACTTTAAATTCCATCCATCTATCCCAGCATGTTTGCACAGCAAAGAGCCTGTTGTACTTAAAGTACTGATCTTGGAGCTGGGGCCAGGGATGCTGGGAGATGGCAAATATTGATGCTGGCGGCCTGGGTCCTCCCTGCAGGCTGTGGTATTAAATCCCCTGCTCTGCTGATGAGAACCAGGGGCGGGCCCTGGCGGGCCCTGGCGGGCCCTGGCTTATGGAGAGCTGTTTGCAAGGTTGCTGGGGCATCTGCTTCTTTCTGAAAGGAAGAACCAATAAATAAGAAAAGAACAAATGCTGTTCTTCAGTGCCAGCCACCTCCAGTTTCCAGGCTGCCACCCCTAGCCTGGGTTTCAGCTTTCTCTTCCAGGGAATCCTGGCCTAGAAAGGGTGAGGCATTCAGGAGGGATGTGGTAGGCTCTGGATTTGGGTCTATCAAGGTTTGATCCTGATTCAGTCCTTTAAAAGCTGTGTGATTTTGCCCTGGCTGCTGTTGCTAAGTGGTTAGAGCACTGGCCCAGGCGCCAAAGGGTCGTGGTTTTGATTCCCATTCAGGGGCACGTACCTGAGTTGCAGGTTCAATCTGCACATGCAGGAGGCAGCTAATGGATGTGTCTCTATGCCCACAGGTGAGGATTAACGAAGAATAAATAAATAAAAGCTATGTGATCTTAAGCAAGCAACTTCATGCCTCTGTGAGGTGCTCATAACCAAACTAGGTTCCTGGAAATGAGATACAAGAGACAAGACAACCAAAGGTTTGCCATGGTGCTTGGCATGTGCTCGGCTTGCTAAACATTGGCTGTTAATATTCATTAATCCCCTAACACAGCAGTTGACACTCCCCTTTTCTTTTGCCTGATGCTCCGCTGTTCCCAAGTGGCATTCACATGCCAGCTCTCACCTTTTCCTCTCCATGAGCCTGCAGATGGTCTGGCCGTGATGTCCTTATTCCTAATGTACAGAGGAGGGCGTCTTCTTTGCAGCCCCTCCTCGGAGGGAGGAATCCAGTGTGTTCTTCCTGCTGTACTCCTCTGCCAGCTCCCTGCAGCCTTGAGCCAAGTTCACTCCCTGCGGCCCTGAATCAGAGGCTCTTCCTCAAGCTCCAGCACAGGGAACTGCTTCACACATCAGCCGGGACTGCCCTGTCCCCGATTCCCACCTGGCTCCATCACGGCCCTGCTCAGGCATCGTCGCCACTGGAAGCTGCCAGACCTCGAGACATAACATAAAACAGTGCCCCTCCACAGCTAAGTGCTCAAACACCTGGCTCTGAGCCCCACAGGTCATATGCCCTGCAACCAGCTGCCTGGCCTGTCTAAGCTTTGCATTAAAATAATACCTCCCGCCTGTCCGGTGTGGCTCAGTGGTTGAGCGTCAACCTATGAACCAGGAGGTCATGGTTCAATTCCCGGTCAGGGCACATGTCCGGGTTGAGGGCTCAATCCCCAGTAGGGGGCATGCAGGAGGCAGCCAGTTGATTATTCTCTCTCATCATTGATGTTTCTAACTCTCTCTTCCTCTCCCTTGCTCTCTGAAATCAATAAAAATATGTATATTTAAAAAAAAAAACACAAACCAGTACCACCCTCAGAGTGCTTTAGGGAGGATGAGAGGTACAACTCTTAGCACAGTGCCTGGTTCGCAGCAAGCGCTCAGCAAGCGCTAATGTGCGCACCTAGAAACCTGGCTTTTGCGGTTGTGACAGCTTGGATCTTGAGAGTATTATGCTAAGCAAAATAAATGAGACAGCAAAGGACAAGAACCATACGATTTCACTTGTGGGATATAAAACAGAAAGCAATAAACAAACACAATAAACACCCAAACTTGTAGACACGGATAACAGTATGGTGGTTGCCAGAGGGGAAGCGGGTGGGGGAGGATGAAGAAGGTAAGGGGGTCAGATATACGGAGACGAAATAAACTAGGCTGTGGGTGCTAAGCACACGATGCAATATCTAGATGTTGTGCGATAGAACTGTACACCTGAAGCTTACATAATGTTATTAACCAATGTCACCTGGTAGGTTTAGTTAAATTTAAAAAAGAGAAGAAACCTGGCGTTTAGTCCTCACCCTGCTACTGACACGCTGAGTGGACTTGGACAAGTTGGTTTCAGCCTTGGTTCTCCCTCCTGTGAAATGAAACTCCCCCAGGGACTTGGAGGGCTTGGTTGGGAGGGATGGGCAAAATGATGTGCAATGATGACGCTGATGCCTCTGGGAAGAGCCACAGGCCACCAAAGAGGCCTAGGACTAGATGACCACCAAGGTCCACCTGTCTCTTTCCATGGGGCCCAACTGATGCACCAACAGCCCCCGCCAGGACCTGGGTGCTCTCCTGCTGCGTGAACCAGCAAGGCTGCCTGGTGTGAGCAACGCAGGCTCGTGTTCCCGTGGTCTGTCCCCAGGGCCTTGTTTTCTACAACCGATGCTCAGGGTGTCAGCAACGTGTTGGCATTTGAATGCCGAACAAGCTTCTTGTTCCTCAGGGACCAGCTCAACCCTCTCTTCCCCTGGAGAAGGCATGGCCCAGGGAGGGAGGCCCGGTGCTCCTTCTCAGGCCTCTGGACTCCCCCCTCCTCCTCTTCACCCCCTGACTCCGTAGGTCCCTAAGGGGCATGTGCTCCATGCTCCACCAGTAAGTAGCCCTTGACATGCCCTCTTCTCTGCCTACTTGGTCCCAGTCCTGGCGACTCTTTCTTGAACTGTTGTAATTAAAGGTCATTGTGATGCTGGTAGGCGTCGTTTATCATGCCTTATCGCCATGGTCCTCAGGATGAAGTGCGACCTGCTGTGCCCTCCAGAATCATGTCCCTGCTCACCTCCTCCTCTCCTGCCGTCCCACCAACCACACTGATGTTTTGGCCGCCCTGACCTGCTGGCATTCCCTGGCTGAGCCACACACTGGTCCATGCCCACGCCTTCGTTCACATGGCCCCTCAGCTGGGAATACCCTTCACTTGCACCGGTACCACTGGAAGTTCTCCTTCCCTCCAGAACCAGCCCAAATGGCCCTCCTCTGGGGAAGAAGCTCCTCTGGGTCGGTGGTCAGAACCCAGGATGCCCCAAGTGTACCCACAGCTCCTCACTTGTGCTGCAGTTGCAGAGAAACTCAGCCAAAGGTGCCAGGGCCCAGGGCTGACCATCCCTCAGGCAGGATCCCTGCGGTGCCCTGCTCTAGGCGTGGGTCCTCAGTGCATCAGGGTCAGGAACATGGCAGTGTCCTGCCCCCAGGAGGCTGCCTAGCATTTCCTGCACCCCATCCTTCCATGGTGTGAGGTGTCTCCTCCATGAGACCGTGTGCTCCTCATGTGTCCTCACTTCTGGGTGCCTGGCACTCAGCTTGGCCTAGGGCAGGTGCATAGGGACTCTTCGGTGAGTGATGAATGAGGCAGAACTCATCTGTCTCTCAGATGCCCATTTTCAGTTCAAAACTCACATGAGACTGATACATAAAACTGATTTTATTAATTTCCATGGGGATATGTCTGTCTCCCTCAACAGGAACCCTCTTGTTGGCCAGATTTCAAGTCTCTCTTTCAGAATAAGGGTGGGACACTTTCTGACCCTCGAGCTCATTTTAAAAATACTCCACAGGGACTCTGCACATCCCCATCCCCTTGGCCCACAAGCCAAGAGATAATTATACTGATAGCAGGAAAGGGACACCATAGACTATGTTAGAGTCTCACTGACTTTACTGTATGATCCCAGGCAAGTAATTTCTCCCACTGGGCCTCAGTTTCCTCATCTGTTTAATGGGAGCATCCATCCTTGTCTGTCTGGGTGTGGGGAAGCTGAAAAGCTCTGCAGAGAAAGAGCTCCTTCACTCAGGCTCTGGGATCGAAATCCAATCCTTACTACAAGAACCCGGGGCTGTATGTCTGGTACTGGTCACGGGGTGGAGCGAGGGGAGTGGTAGGGTGAAGAACGGAATGGACAGAAGGGCTTCTCTTTCTCCATTCCTTCTACTTTATAGCTCAGAGCCTCCTGGACGGCTTCCCACTGGCAGGATGACAAAGCCCCATCCCAGGCGTAATTTCATGTAATCAACCAGCAGGGCCAGGGAGGAAAATGAGGAAAATGCTAAGGCTGTAGCCAAGCCCAGCAATACCTGCCTCGGGTACCACAGAGACAGGAAATGGCGAATAAGGCCTAAATGCCTCAGCTTGGTGTGTGAGCCCCAGACCTGTCTTTTCTCTAAGGGGCTCCTCTGTGTAGCCCCACAGGCAGCCTAAAATCATGGAAGCAGATTCCCCTCATTTTTGTTAGGAGCTGCTTAACATGATAGTGAGCTCCCTGTCCCTGGAGGCATGCAAGGAGAGGGTAAATATCTTGAAAGCCAGAGAGGCAAGTCTTATTCAGAGACAATAGTGTGTAAATCCCATTAGGTGATCTTGATGGCTCCTTCCTGTCCTCATGTTCTTCAATTCGATGCTCATGTGAAGGATTACCAGTGCCATTCAACCAGCGTCCTGCTCGGGCCTGGTGCCACTCAGGGTCCAGGACAGGAGTACTCGTCAGACCAGTCGGAGCAGTGCTGCACACGGTCCCGGCAGAGGCTCCTCGGGATACAGTCGCAATACTTGAAGACAGTGGAGGGGCAGCGCCACCACCCAGGGCCACAGGGTGGGCATGCAGTCACTGGAGGGACAAGAGCCGACAAAAGAGCAGCTGTAGTATCCTGGAATGCCTCGGGCACCCCTAGCTCTGACACCTGCCATAGCTCCCCAGAGCCCCATCCCATCCGACATGGGTTGGCTATATCCCTTATTTCCCATCTTTCTAGAATGCAAGGACGAGGTGCAGGGGGAACCTCAGAGATTCCTTGGTCAACCTCTGCTCGCTGGTCGCTGCCTGGCCACCTGCCCCAGCCCAGCCTGTGCCCAGACCCCCACCTGGGCTCAGTTCATCTGAGCAGTCCCCACAGTTGTTGGTTCCGTCACACTTTTGGTCTGAGTAGATCCAGGAAGCTGGGTTTCCACAGTGGGCCACAAGGAAGCCGGGCAGACTCTGGGGCACATCTCCTACGGAGGACAGATGAGGCAAGAGGAAGTCCACATCTGGCCACAGCTGTCTCAGATTAAGATGAGGTTCGTGGGGGCTATATGGAGGTGGACTGTCCGAGCCACCTGGGCAGTTGCCAAACTCAGGGTTACCATGCATCTGTCCCAGGAAAGGCATGAGGAAAAGGCTTTCCTGGAGAGGAAGGAGGTCGAGTCAAAAGGAGAGACATGTCCGTTCCCTGTATATCCAACAAGATGCCCAGAGAGTTGCTTCTCCCTTCCTCATTCCCTACTCTGCTCATATGCGTCCGCACCCTATACCATTGCCTGCCCTTTCCCTTCTCTAGAAATGTCCTCCTTGACACCCATCCAAAACCATCTATTTCAAGTCCATGCCACTTCCTTTACCCCCAGGAAGCCGTCTCCCACCGGAACATAACAAAAGCAAACGTGAAGTCTTGCACTTGGGTCCCAGCACTCAGAGGCTGTGAGTTCACGTACCTGTGAGAGGGGGTCAGAGCACCTTTCTTGAAGTGGATTCTGTGTTAGGCAGCAGTGCGGCACAGCTTCCAAAAGTTAACACAGACTCAGGCCACATCAGTAAGAGGTATAACCCAGACTTGCGAGGGGGAAAGCCTTTGCTCCTTGGACTAGCCAGAGCCAGTCAGAAGTATCATGAGTGCCGTGGAGCTGTCCAAGGAGAGGGTGGTGGGCAGTTGGTATGTGTTCTGGGGAGTGCTGGTAGAGTGGGGAAGACCGCTTGCAAGGGGGGTGACTGGGAGTTCAGAGTGTGGCCCAGGGAAGGGGACACTGATCTGGGGTTGGGGAATGCACTCTCCGAATTCATGCAGTGCCACCATCATGGAGATGGATCAAGATGTGGTTCGTGGGGGGCAGGGGTTGATGAGAGGCCAGAGTTGGAACCAATCAAGGATGCCGGCGGGAGACAATCCCATGAGAAAACATGCAATGATGGGAGCAGCTGCCTCAAGTTGCAGGGAGCTCCCCATCCCAGGAGTGTGCAAGCAGAGGCTGGGTGGCCTCTGCTGGGTTTCTTATAGAGGGGATTTGGGCATGAGCTGGGACATAACTAGATGACTTTTAAGATCTTGTCTAGGTTTATGATGTAATGTCCCTCCCTTCATTAGCTCCCCTCCTCCACCCTCATCAACTTACCAAGTTCTCTCCCTCCTACATGGAAAGCGCCCTGGCCAATCTCTCCTGAGAATTCATTATCAGATCTTGAAGGTCTGGGACAAGACCTTCCCATTCATTCATTCACTCTTTCATTCTATCACTCATCCAGCAAATTATTCCGAACACCCCTCCGTGTCCTGGCCTGCATCAGGCACTGGGACCCCAAAGTCAAGCAGACCAGGCCTGCCCTGGAGGAGTTTATAGTCTGATGGTCACAGAAAAAAGGCCAATGGAAAGTGCCAACCAAGGTGACCAGGGCTGGGACCAGGGAAGCACAGGGGCTGTGGGAGCCAAAGCAGGGACCTGAACCAGGTTTGAGAGTCAGGGAAGGCTTCCTGGTGGAGGTAACACTTGAACTCTGCCATGAAGTTTGAATACAGGTTCTCTGGGCATGGAGACGCACAGAGTGAAGGCCTTCCCTAAAGGGGGCACCTACTTATGTGTGCGGGTGGGGGCAGGTGTTCCTGGCTGAGGGCCATAGAAGCGAAGGCCTGAGGACACAAAGGTGCCTGGTAATTTCAGGGACAATTGAGCCTCGTTTGGGCTGCAGGGATAGATGTAATTGGGGGGCAATCCCCAAAGGGCCCTGGAAGGCCCATCCAGGGCAGGGGCGGGACTGAGCAGGTACTCACGGCACAAGGCCTCCTCCTCGTCCTCGCCATGGGGACAGGTGCGGACGCCGTCACAGACCCCGCTGGCCGAGATGCAGCTCCTCCGGTCATGGCACAGGAAGCCGGTCCTGTTCGTCAGCGTCACACAGGCCTGGGCCCCTGAGTGGGCGGGTGGGGTGGGGGCATGAGGGTCAAGGGTGTACTCACAAGGGCAGCACCAGGTTCCCACCCCTGAGACCCACCTGAGCTGGACTGAGGAGCTGGGGCATGAGGCCAAAGTCCCCGCCCTCCCACCTGCCAGCTGAGTGACCTTGGGCAAATGACTCGACCTCTCTGAGCCTCTTGTTCCTTGTCTGCAAAATGGGGATCATAGTACACACCCAAGGACTGTGGGGGAGACTTACACACCCAGAACTTAGAATGTGCCAAGGAAGTCCTGGTTCCCTCCTCTATGGGAAGCTTATCGACAGCCTCGCAGGAGGCCCCGGAGGCCCGGGCTCAGCCGATGAAGTGGTTTTAATGGTGGGGCTCCTGGCACCAGGCTAGGTTCTCAGAAACAATATACTGGGCCTGGCCTGGCGACCGTTAATTATACCATCATTCCTTACACCTGGGCATAACTTTACGGTCTGCAAAGCACTTTCACATTTTTATTCTCTTGCTTCCTAAAACCCCTTTGAAGTATCCTCATTAAGCCCATTTTACAGATGAGAAAGGGAAGGCTCAGAGAGGTGTGACGGGCCCACTCACACAGCTAGTAACCAGGCCTGCGGACTCAGCTCTTTCCCGAGGCTGGGGCGGCCTCTCCAGCGTCCAGGAATGGTGGCCGCCATCTGAACATGTCTGTCCTTCTGAGAGTCTTCCCTCCCATCCCACCCAGAGCTGCTCCAAAGGATTAAAGGAGAGAGACTGTCAGATGAGCTGGGAGGCCACCCTGGCTCCGCAGGCCACGCGTGTGTACACACATGTGTGCGGGTGGGAGATGAGAGCGGTTTGTGCTTGCATGTTTGGGGCACATGTGAACCATGTCTTAGCTCCCAGAACTGCCTCAACTCGTATGAGGGGGATTGACTCTCAGAAACTCTCACATTGTCACACACACATACACGCTTCAGACATGTGCACAAGCACAGAGATATACACAAGCACACGGGCACATGGATGCATACATAGACACATAACACAGGCACAGAGACACATGTGTGTACACAGGCACATGAGTGCAGCTCCTCTTGTGTGCATATCTGCCCTACGTGCTCATGTTTCTGCACAGACATGTAGAGAACTGGATTTACCCCCTCCCCCACCTTATTCCCTTACAGCCCCCAGCCTGGCTACAGAGCCATCTGTCAGAAAGGTAGCTGTGGCGACACCCTACCCCCAACTCAATCCCCTTCCCATGGCTCTCTCCCTCCCCAGTGCAGCCTCCGAGGCCCTAAGCGCCTGGCCCTCTGTGTCCACTGGCCTTCTTGCAGTCTCTCTCTCCTCATGATTCCTCCCGCCCCAGGGGCTCCGCACAAGTGCTCCCTGGACCTACGGTGCTTTTCCTGCCACCCCTTCATGCCTTTCCCTTGTCAAGGTGCCACTCTGACTCCAAGACTGGTCAGAGGCCCTATTCCAGACTCCCATTAACCCTGCCTTAATGTGCTTATTTGATTAATGTTTATGTCGCTCTCCAAATTGTTAGCTCCGTGAGGGCAGGGGCCATGTTGGGCCTCATCCCTGAAGCTGGGGCCACATTCCTATCCTGTGTGATTGGCACCACCCAGGACAGCCAGGAGAAGAGGAAGTTGGGGGGCTGTGGGGGCCAAAACAAGGCTTCTAACCCAGCCTGGGAGTCCGGGCAGGCTTCCTGGAGGAAGTTGGTCATAGAGCTGGGTCCTCTCAATACTCATATTGCAGATGTGTACATGGAGACTCAGAGACGTGTTAACGTCAGTCTGTGCACACACCCTAAGGAATTGTCCAAAGTGACTTCATGGAGAAGCCAGTCAGGGTGAGGGTGCCCCCATTTCTCTGCCCCCCCCAACTCCTCCCAGCAGGTCTGACCCACCCGCCCTTGACCACCCTGACCTGGTGTACGTGGTGGGGATCCAAGGATGATGACCAGGGTGATGAGGGCCGCGACAGCTGCCAGCAGGAGCAGCACGAAGGCTGAGAGGCAGGCCCCTCGGCGGGAGCAGCAGGGGGCGATGCAGCCTGCTGTGTGGAGCAGGAAACCAGCGATGGAGCAGCCAGCGCTGGGGCCCAGGGACCCAGGGACCCAGGGACCCAGGGACCCTCCTCCTCTGGCCCTTCCTGTAACTGGCCTGTCTCCACCTCAGTTCCCTGGAGGAGGGGGTTCCTACGCCTGCCATGATGCTCTCATTTCTGCCTGTGGGCCCACCCCCACCAAGCGCCAGTCCCTGGCCCCAGTCCTGTCGCTAGCGGGTGGCGTCTGGGATGAAGGTCCCAGGTCTCTGCTCTGCCTCCCTCACACTCCTGTCCTTCCACAAGGAAGTCTTCTCAGGAGGCAGGGAAAGATGGACACCTGCTCTTTGAGCCCCTATCACAGGCAGAAACGATAGCAGGCCCTTCAGAGCTGTTATTTTTATTTTCCAACACAATATTTTATAGATGAGGAAACCAAGGCTCAGAGCAGACACGGTTCAGGTCACCTTATGCGGAGCTGAGATGTGAGTTCACACTTATTAGCCATCACAACCAGAGCCCGTTGCATGATGCCAAGTGATTGTCCCTTCTGCAGCTGCCAAGATGCTCGCGGGAATCCCGGCTCCCCCACTTCCCAGCTGGGACCCACAGAGACGTCACTTCACTCCTCTGTGCCTGTTCCTTCATGTGGAAAATGGGGGTCATAATGCCTACCATAGGGTTGCTGAGAGGATTAACTAGTTAATATGTTAAAACAGTGCTTGGCGCATAGTAAGTGCTATGAAAGTTTTAGCTTTGTTAGCATTTATTAAGCACCTACCATGTGCCAAGCTGTATCCTAAGCACTATGGAAATAACAGCAATAGGAGACATCCTGCTCCTTTAACTTACTTGGCTCCTTTAATTTTTGCTTGCTTGTGATATAATGAAAGAAAGCTCTATCGGGAACCTACTAGGTGTCCTGCTCTGTAGAAGACACAAAAGCAGTTATGGCTCAGGTTGCTGCTCTCTGACAGTCTGTAGTTGCACTTAGAAGGCAAAGCATGTTGTACTTCTTAATCCCTTCACATTTTTCACCCAGCGACCCCCTTCCTCCCAACACAATCTCCTCTGGCAACCATCAGTTTGTTCTCTGCATCTATGTGTCTGTTTCTAAAAAAAAAAAAAAGGCAAAGCATGTAGGTTAAAAGAGGAGAGTGGGTACAACAGCTGTCCTCTGGGCCCCAGTTACTATTTCAGAGAAAAAGCAGAACAGGTCTGATGTGTCTTTGTCCCCAGGGTCCAGCACAGAGGCAGGCACACAGTAGGTGCTTTGTGAATACTTTGACCCTGAGCTCCAGGACACAAGGAAAGGGCCCCACCTGAGGTCAGTTCAGGGCATTTCCATTCAATCCACTCATATTTGTGGAGCTGCCTATTCTGCTCTCCTACTAGTCACATCTGTCCCTGTGCAGCTCACAGAGCCAGGTAGTAAGTGTGGTTAAGGAAATGTGAGTACGGTGCCTCGGTGCTCAAAGGAGGGTGGGGTTTCCAAGAGCAGGTGAGGGGAGGGTGCAAAGAGAGGAGATTCCAGGTAGAGAGCATAGGAGGAGTACGGTGTGTGGTGTGTGGGGGACAGCAAGGGGCCTGGTGTGGCTGGACCCTGGAATGGGTGTGTATTGGGAAAGAAGACAATAGTAGGATATACAGCATAAATCTAATGAGCCCTAGTTGGTGGTTTCCTTGTTGTTAGCAAACACGGGGTAAACTCAGGTAACCAGGGCGACAAGATGGTGTGAGGCTGGGCAAGAGGAGTGTCCTGGTCAGCCGAGCAGACACGCCTCAGATATTTGTGCAGTGCAGGCTGTGGGCAGCAGGGGGCACAGGAGCCTCCGGCAGAACTGAGGCCCCTGCCCAGATGAAGATGCTGCCCTCCAAAGCTGGGAGGCCCTGAGGGCCCATCTCCCTCGGGACAGATGGGGAAAAGGAGCCGTTTGTTCCACAGTCATGCCCACCGTGAGCCAGGACTGGAAATGAACACAGATGGGTGGCACCACCCAGGAAAGACACACAGATGGGTGGCCATCTGAACATCAGTGTGGAGCAACAAAGACTGGGGCTTTGCAATCAGTGGGACCCCAATTCAAATTTGAACCCTGTCTCTCCCACCTCCCAGCTGTGTGGGATCCCAGTTTGGCCAAGCTACCCGATCCCTCTTAGCCTCAACTGCCTCAGCTGTTATTGTCCCATAACAGGAGCCCCTCTCAGAGCTATCCTGAGGGTAGATGAGACCATGCCATGCCAGAAACATCATAGGGCCCTGATTCTTTTTCTTCTTTTTTTAATATATTTTATTGATTTTTTTTTAACAGAGAGGAAGGGAGAGGGATAGAGAGTTAGAAACATCGATCAGCTGCCTCCTGCACACCCCCAACTGGGGATGCCCACAACCAAGGTACATGCCCTTGAACGGAATCGAACCTGGGACCCTTCAGTCCGCAGGCTGACGCTCTATCCACTGAGCCAAACCGGTTAGGCCCCTGATTCTTCATAGCTGTGATTGGTATTTACCTCTCTGGGTCTGCTTCCTCCTTGGTCAAATGTGGTCAAGACACAGCACATAGTAGCTGCTCAATAAATGTGAGTTCCTTTCTTTCAACTGCCCTCATTGCACAAATCAGTGGCACATAGTAGGTGCTAAATAAGTGTGTGATCCCACCTACTTTATCTCAGTGGTAAAGAGAATTGCCTAGGTCACCCACGGGGTCAAGTATCTGACTGCAGAGCCCTTTCCTTATAGGTTACAGGTGGGCTCTGTATGTGGTGCAGTCCCTGTGAGGTAGGCAGTATACAGTAGGTGCTCAACAAATGCTTGTGCCTGGAGAGAATGAACCACCACATTAAGCAGGTGGCTGTCAGCATGGCTGGCCAGGAAGTTGGGAGTGAAGGACATCGGCATAGGGGGCAGCGGTCTGAGGGACAGTGGGAGCCTTAGGGTGCTCTCTTTGTGCCTCTGTAGCAACGGCGCAACCTCAGGGAACCCAGGCCTTCCATCCATTACCTTCTCCCGGGAGGACTTTGGTCCCAGCAGCAGCATTGCCGTTGATGTCCTCCTGCTCGAGAGAACAGAGTGAGGAGTGGGCATAGGTGAGTCAAGTCCAGCCTCATGGAGCCACACTGAGAGCCTTAGGTGGAACCACTGGCCCCTCACAAAAAACTCATCATGCCTGCTTCACATTTCCACACCTTTGCCTGGACTGTGCCCTCCGCCTGGAAGGACTTTGCCCCCACCGTCCACTTGGTAAACACTCATCCTTCAAACCAGCTCAGGTGGCTCCTCCTGGGAGAGGCTTTCCCTGACGCCCCCTCCCATCATGTGGACGGATCCCTCCCCCACAACCCCCTCCAGAGCAGCGGGGAGGTGAGCTAACTCAACATCTCTCCTTCCCTAGGTTGGCTTCCCCAGGTCAGGAGCCAATTCAGGGCAGATCTTACCTGGGGGAAGACCTTGTTCATGTTTCCAGCTCCTAGCTCCCAGCTCTAGTCTCTGGTCACTGGAGTTGATGTGTAGAATTCAGCTCAGGTTCGCTGCCTTGTCACCAGGGCAGCCTGGAGGAGGGAGGACAGAAGGCCCTGCCTGGCCGCACCCTCCCTGTGGGCAGTCCCTTTCCAGGCTGCCTCCCGGGCCAGGAAAGGGCAGGAGGGCCCTGCTCCTGCCCAGCCTCTCCCCACCCTGCATCTGAGGGCAAGGCTCCAAGGCTGCTGAAATCCTCCTCCCCATTTGACAGACAAAGAGCCTGAGGTACAGAGAGAAACAGCCCTCAGGTCACACAGTATGGGGTGGGGGTAGGAGTTTGAAATCAGGAGCTTTTCAGGGCGTGCTTTTTCCTCCATGTCAGTGATGAGACTGGAGGCTCTCAGCACCCGGGGATCGGACCTAAACCGGCAGTCAGATATCCCTCTCACAATCCTGGACCGCTGGCTCCTAACTGCTCACCTGCCTGTCAGCCTGATCACAATTTGAAAAGCCCTGTCCCTACTCCATGCTGTTAGACTACCCTTTTCCTATGGGTTTCCTACCTGGTGAATTGCCTTTTCCCATCTCTTTCCCACTTTTTTATGGGTGGTTTGTCTTATTCTTATTGATTTACGGATTTCTTTATGCTGAATTGAATCATTTGTTACATGGGTTATATCTCTCTCTCCCAGTCTGTAGCTTGTCACTTGCTTAGAGTGACTTCGGCTGGCTCCCTCTGTCTTTCTTGCCCAGACCAGGTAAAAGTCTCACTTCATGAAGCCTTCTTTCACTCTCCCTGCTCCCCTGGGTTTACCTTTCCCTGCATTTCTTATGGTCTGGCTGTGGCTAGGCGACCCTCTGGACATGAGATCAGCAAACCCCAGCTTGAGTCAGACAGACCTGGGTTTTCATCCAGACTCTGCCAAATTAATACCTATCTAATTTAAGGTGGCCAATCACAGCCTCTCTAAGTCTCAGTTTCCTCATCTGAAGAATGGGTATAAGAATACTTACCTCATAGTTGTGAGGATAAAGTGAGTGCACATATGTGATTGTTTTTTGTAGCCTGTGAAGGTTATTGCTGGATGCCTCAGTCTGTCTACAATTACAAAGAGATTTGCTTGAGGCCTGGGACTGCCTCTAACTCCAGGCCTCAACTCTGAGTTGGGAGAATGCTAAGTGGGCACCACAATTAGATTGACCCAGGGACCTGGAGATCTGCTTCCAGACCTGGATTTAGATGAGGCACTGTTCCCACCTCAGCGCTCATCACTCCTCCTATGCATTCCTCAAGTCTCCGTGCCCTGGCTGGCCACCTCTCCTCTCAGAGACTGTTTCCTAACTCCAAAATGGAGATGTTAGACCCCATCCTGCTCTTCTAGGGGGATGTTGCAAGGACCCATTTAAGGTGAAAGTGGGAGAGCTAGAAAGAGCTTAGCAAAAGTCACAGGAATCAATAGACAAATTCCCTTGTGAAATACCTTATATAAGTAGACACTTTTACAACACAGAACTATAATATTGTTTAATGCAGGTGATCCAAATTTGACTGATGTTTACAGACTTAGCATTATTAAATTAACAGAGGTGGGGTTCCAATGAATGCATGATGGTCTATCTTGAGGTAACATTATCAAGAGCTTTTGTTGAAATCTCTCATTTCTAATCCGTTGCTAATTTCTTTTCACCCAAGCCTTCAATTATTGCTGTTCCAATGTTGTAAAAACAGTCTATACTAATAATAGAGGAATATGCAAATTGTCCAGGATGCCATCACAATAACGACCAAACAGCAGGCTGCGTGGGGCGACAAGGCCAGCAGGGGGATTAGTGAGGGATGACCAACAACTGAACAGCAGGCTGCGTGGTGGGTGGCAAGGGGGGCAATTGAGGGTAACCAGGCCGGCGGGGGGGCAGTTGGGGGTGACCAGGC